GTTCAGCATTCCCCAGGGTTCGTTACCTGCTTGGGGAACAGGCGTGGCCGGGGATGGGACTGTTTGCAGACCTCCTGTCTGTAGTCTGTTTAGGCCCCGACTCATCCTGGGTTCCTGTGAAAGGAGTTTGTTAATCCCTTAGTCACACTAGGGGATGAGCAAATGTTAATGTTTATACATGTTTCTACACGGCTAACAAACAAAGCCATGAGGCTAGTCTTTGAGAGGTGGGTCGTGGGAGAGTCCAGTTCAGACAAGATGGTGTCTCACAGGACCGAGAGTCCCCCGATAGCAGCGTTTCACTGGCGAGGTGGGATTTTCCAGAAGTGCACACGGTATTCTGAAAGAGTGTCTCAGCAGCTTCCTGGCTCAGAAGAAAGTTAAATGGTGGAAACCAGATTTCTGTAAGGGGTGGCTGAGTAACTCGACCAGGAGGATACAGCAGGTCAGGGTTGCACGGCTCTGCCCCCCCCCCCCACGGAAAGATGCAGTGTGAACAGGCGGGAGGGCCGGACCCCCAGGGTGCCCCAAAAGGCCCACGTCTTGCCCACGGTGCCCACATGAAAAGTTCAGAGTTTTGGAGTTTCGTTTATGTCCTTTACTGGTGGGTACTTTGTTCTGACCTTCCATGTAACTGCTGCAATCGAATCATCAGAATTATCATGCTTTTCTAGGAAATATTTCTAAGTAGTGAATCTGCCGGGTTGAACAGCAAACTCTAAAAGTCTATGTCCACATGGAGCCTTAAAATGAGAAGCTGGCGTGAGGTGGGAAGGGGCCTCCCCAGGAGCCCCCAGGAGCCCGAGGTGAGGGGGGAAAGGGCCTCCCCCAGGGGCCCCAAGGTGAGGGGGAAAGGGCCTCCCTGGGGTCCCCCAGGAGCTGGGGTGAGGTGGGCTGAGGCAGGTTCTGTGGATCCCGGGCAGCTGCAGGGCTTGGCTCCAAGCTTCTGGAGCTGAGACAAAGGGTGTCCCATGTTCCCAGCACCCAGTGCCTGGCGCGTGGCCCCAGTAGCTGTGGGAAGCTCCAGCAGGAGGCTGACGGGACTGCGGGGTGTTTGACCCGCGGGAAGAACAGCCATGTTTTGTGTATACTCTTCTTCCCTGAGGGCCCGAGCATGACTGTTCACAGGTGTTTTGAGGGAGGACCGTTTCAGCTGCGGAAAGCTTGGGAGGCTCTCCTGAGGTGTCATGTGGAAGGTGCAGCCGATGTCCAGGTCCAGGGTGACGGCAGGTTCACAGCCACGGCTACAGAGTGACCCAACGCTGGAGGACAAGTAGTGGAACCTGTGAAAACCTTCACTTTTGGGGAAGGGGTGACGACCCTGATGCCACTGGGGCCGGCGTTGGGACCCTTGCTGACGGGGTGTGGACAGCCGGGGAGCAGAGCGCGCCACTGCCCGGGGGCGCCCACTGGGCTCTTCCTCGGTGGGCCTGTGTCCTGAGTTAGTTTTGAAGTTAAGAGAATTTTTTCTTCTCTTGGAGGAAGGTTTTTTCAGGGGGTCATTTGTTTCTGTTTCCCCCTGTTTCAGCTTTTCATGTCTGTCTCGTCAGCTTCCAGAAGAAAGGCCCGCCTCCCCCACTGCGGGGGCCGCTGGGGGCCGCGTGGACTCCTGGTACCTGGAGCTGGTCCCTCTCTGCAGGCGGCTGCTTCCCCAGAGACCCTCGCGGCCTCGGCCCCCTTGTCCTGGACATCTGTGTTCCAGTGTTACTTGCTTTGGAGGATGGCCTCCTCTGTTTCTGGAGTGTCTCACGGATCCTTTAAATAGTGGGGTCATGAAGACAAGGAGAAAGACCTCTGTGGCTAGAATATCTCGTGATGCGAATGTTTCTGAACTCTTTCCTGACCTCGGCCAAGGACTGTGTAGTAACCCCAGTTGACGCCACGGTGCGCAGGGAGGGGCTGAGGCGGGTGGTGGGCAGGGAGCCTTGCTGTCTGTCTGGGTTCAGTCTCATTTATTTACCGGGGCCCCCGGGCACATTTCTGAACCTCCGAAGGCTGCTGTGGGGAGTGCGTTGGTTAAATGGTACCCTGCTCCATGTTGGCTGTGTTGGGATGATCTCTTCAGGGTGACCGAGACAAAGGGGCCACAGCTATGGACAGGGCCATTTATGCCCCAAGATGTAAGGGTGGGAGGCAGGTGGGGAGGGGTGCCTTAGGGCACAGGAGGGGCCAGGGGACACACACACACCACTGCCCCGACAATGGAGACCTTGCTGTTCTTAGTTTTAAGAACTTTCCCTCTCAAGGAAAACAAGTGACTTTCCTAAATGTATCCTATGACATCTTGAAATGGTGGCCTTTCAAGCTGTTGAAAAGGACTCTAAGGTTCCCAGTCCTCTTGAGCCACACCTTTGCTGGTTGCAGGTGAGTGATCGCCATGTCGGAGCCCCGCTCCCCACCAAGCACCACAACCAGCACCTGCAGATCAGGGGCTGCGTGTTCTTCCCATGGTGCGCAAACAGAGGGTCGAACGAGCCACTGTGGATGTGAATTGTTTGGTGACTTAGGCCAGTTATTTCCTACCGCTGTTAAATATTCACCACAAATTCTGGCGAAGGTACAAACTGGCTTGTAGGATACTCTAAAATAATTAAATTTTTACTGGTTGTTTTACCGAATCTACAGTTCCTCCTCTTTTCAAGAAAACTGGATATTTAGAAATGGAGAAAGTTCATTCTTTATTATAAAACTTAAGATTCTTCACAAAAAGATGTCTTCTGTGTTCCTTAGCACAAAAAAGATGTATTTTTCTTAAATCTTCCTTACTTCCGATCCAGGAATCAGCTGGAGGCGACCACACCAGGTGTTTGCTAAATCATGTCCCCATAAACATGTTGGATTAAAGCTACTAGCAAAATATGTCAGTTCTCCTAAGAACAAGATTCATTAAAGAGGAAGGACCAAGATGACAGTGTGGGGCCTCATGCCGATGCCTGTTTTCCTTCTTTGTTTTACTTTAGTAAAGAATATGTTTACTACAATATGACAGTACCGTGAGCGTGTGTGTCTAGCATGTGACTGGGCAAGTAGGACATTCCTAACGGTGTGTTGGCCGACGCGCCGTCCGTGAGTGTCTTCTTGGCCTCATTTTCTTCCTTGGAGGTTGACCCTTTCCCGACTTTCCTGTTTATCGTTCTATCACCTTTGGAAGATAGTTTTATGATTTGTGTCTGTTTAAAATTGTATATTAAAATTGTATGTAATTTTGAGATACTCATATTTCACATTCAGTATTGTGAGAGACACCGGTTTTCAGTCACAGAAAGCGCTCTTCAACTAACTTGACACTTTGACCTCAGCAAAATTAAATTCGATGTTTAGGTCTGACATTTTTAGTGATGCAGCATAAATTGATGATCATGGTAGACGGGTGTGTCTCGGCGTGGGAACACTGGGAATGTGGGCTTTTGTTCTTTAGAGGGCAGAAGCACGTCCTCCAGAAACCTGAAAGGTCCGTCTCATGGGTCTGCAGGGACCCAGCCCGGCTCTGTCCCCACACCGATACTGTCAACAAGACAACCTGCATGATGACGGGGCCACCGAGGGGTCTGGTAACGAGAGTAAAATTGTAAATTGCGTCACAATATAATTTAAAGGAAATAGCGGTCCTTCTGCCGCTTCTAGAAGTCTGTGAATAAGACAAGAGTCCTTGGGAAAGGGGAGAAAAGGGACAAAGCAAGAAGTGGGAATTCCGACTCACAAACCGTGCGCTCGAGCTGATCCCCAAACGGGAGGCTTGTTTCAAACGCAGTCTGTGTCGGGACGCCCCTTGGCCTCTGAGCATAGGGACGGGAGGGGGAGGGGGTGTCTCAGGCCCTGAAGCCAACCCAGGACACCAGCCCAGACTGCGGGGTCGCGGTTCTCCTCAGGCTCAGGACGGCTGGTTAGAACGCTCTGTGTTACAGAGTTTCGGTCACATTCCTTTTTTTGTTAAACGTGCAAGATTGAGAAAACTTTTAAAAATCACATTATGAAATTTTACATCACGGAAGGCTCTCTGAAGCCGGCAGGTGGGGGTGACCTGTGGGTGATAAGATCTGGAGCCGGGAGAAGGACTGGGCCTGCCTCAGGCGTGTCCAGTTTGATGTGCCCGGAGCTGTGGGCTGTGCCCTGCGGCGTGTGTCTGGACCACTGCAGCGGGGGACGCTTGCGGAAGCGTTGCTAGATGCTTTCCCCCGAAGATCATTGCGTGATCGTCCTATTGTACCGTCCGCAGTCTATGTGTGTTCCTTTTCTCCCTCTGGAAACCAGCAAGGTGAGCGGGAGGGCAGGTAGGGAATCCCGTGTTCGTGGAACCAGGAGGCAGGCGTAATTACTCAAAGCGGCGTCGACTGGGGGGCAGGAACAGTCTGGGGAGGAGTGAACAGGTGTGCTCCCACCTGGCCAGGGAGGCCTGGCTCTGGGTTCCCTGTGCGGAGAGCAGCTTTTTCTGGGCAGCAGTATTGGGGTCCCCGCAGAACCGGTGCAGGACGCAGCTTGAGCAGAGGCGCGTCGGAGCCGTGACGCCACCGCCTGGCACTTCGGCGTCTTGTCAGGGGGGCGGCCATGGAGGCCGATCCCAGCGCACGGTGTGGGGAGTAGGAGATGGGTCTGTGTGGGCTCGGGAGGCGCTGGCGGGTGGGTGAGGGGCCCGAGAGGAGCGGGCACGGGGGCACAGGGCAGGGACGCAGGGGCAGCGGTGGGCAGACGAGGAAGGAGGACACGGCGTGAAGGGGAGACAGAAGGTCCCCTCAGCTGCACAGGCCCCGGGGCCCAGCCCTGTGGTTGGAATGCGAAGGGAAAGGTGGGCCCAAGGAACGGTTAAAGACAACGTTCAGGAGAACCTGCCTGAGGTAAAAGTCCCCTGGGATCTGCCCTTCGAAACCATGTCCCACCCTCAGAGATGACCGAACGCCACAGCAACAGGCGCGGGGTCTCTGAAGAGGACAAGCCAGCGTGGCGGCAGGTCCCTGTGGCTTCTGCCTCCAGACCTAAGTAACGCGCGTCCCTTCCTCCTTCAGCTCCTGCAGCTAATTGCGAAATCCCAGTTAACGTCGCTGAGCGGCGTGGCGCAGAAGAACTACTTCAACGTTTTGGACAAAATTGTCCGGAAGGGTAAGTTGGTGGCTGACGTGTCTGATAACAAGTGCAGTGTGAGGAGATGGAGCCTCTCTTCATTCCTCCATCCACGTAACGCTGTCGTATCGGGACGGGCTGTCCCCACAGGAGGACGAAGAACCCCTGGGTCTCAGGGGAGTTTCACCTGTCGCCGCGGCCGTACACCTCCATAACCAGCGTGGCCTCAGATGAGCCTGTGGCTTTACCTTCAGTCTGTCTCGATCGATCCCTGGCCGATAGGAAAGGAACTTTAACTCTCACACCAGGAGTTTATGCATGTATGTGACTTGATCACGTGTGTAAGCTCCTTGGGATGAGTGTAAGGGAAAACAGACACTGCCAATTTTAAAGCCAAAATTGTTGATGCAGCTAGAGTCACACTAGGCAATATTTGATGTTCTTTTAAATTTAAATTTAAATCTTTTAAATTTCATCACACTTGTGTCTCAGAAATGATGCCCGTTTGGGGTCGCAGTGAAATTAGTTCATTATTTTTATTGTGGTAAAATACACATACCCTGAGTTTACCATTTTAATCATTTTTAAACACACAGTTTGGTTGCATGAAGCCCATTCTCCACCTGCCACCAGAACGTCCTGTGGTCCTGCACTGACCCCCGTCCCATCGAACTCTGACCCCTCCGCTCTGAGCGGAGTCATGCGGGGTCCGTCCCGTCAACACCACGGCCCCTGGGTTCGCACACGTTGGGCGCGGGTCGGGACCCCCTTCCTCTTCCGTGGTGTGTCCACGCTGGGTGCTGCGTGGACGGGCGTGGCACTGGGTCTCTCTTACCTTCCCACAGTCTGTGTTCTTGTGCGTTCCAGTCCTCGACGACCACCAGAACCCCCGCCTCATCAAGGACCTCCTGCAGGACCTGAGCTCCACCCTGTGCATCCTCATCCGGGGCGTTGGGAAGTCCGTGCTGGTGGGAAACATCAACATCTGGATCTGCCGTCTGGAGACCATCCTCCACTGGCAGCAGCAGCTGCAGAACCTGCAGGTCACTAAGGTGCGGGACGCGCTCTGGGTCACACGCGAGAGTCGTCAGCCCCCGCGGGGGCGCGTGAAAGACCCTGCCCGCTTGTTGGAGCGTTTGTTTTCAGGTGCATTTGGGCCAGAAGGCCCTGTGGTGGCGTAGATTGCTTTTGGGCAGACTGTGGGGATGGTCGTCATGGAGAAGGGGACGGGTGATGAGCCTTCCGGGGAAAATGAGACGTCTGGGGCTAAGACACCCGCCCACGAGTCACGGCTGCCTTGTTCTGCCAGTGACTCTGTGCGACACAGGGTCCGCGCTGCCCCCTTCCCTGCTGTCCTCCGGGGTCGTGTGTGGTCCTTGGGCAGAGTGAATGGGGGAGACTAGGGGAGAAGATGGTGCAGGTCACACCGCTGGTTCTGCCCGGGTTTGTTTATGCCAGGAACTCGTTTCACCTGCAGGAGTGTTAATGCTGTCAGCTCAGGTCTGCGTCTCGGGGGTATTTTGTGCCTCCCTGGGACTCTGTAAGAGAAAGAAGAAATGGAACGTGTCTCTCAGGGCCCGAGAGGTGACCCATTGTTCTCCAAACTGCCCTCCTGGCGTGGTGATGGTGCGTGCTCACCCCTGCGTCCCGGGCCCCACATGAAAGCAGCTGTTGTCAGGAGTGACTGTGGGAAGCCTCAGCTTTGAGCCATTTGCCATGTGAACAGGTTTACAGAAGAGTAGAGGTTCCCTAATTATGCCTTGAAGTTACAGCGAGGAATCCTGCGTTCAGCGTTGGTGAGGTGGGTCCGGACGAGCCGTCACATGTGTCCCCCAACGCTGAGGGCTGTGGTCGGAAGGTCCGTCTGTGAGGTGGACACGCACACAGTGTGGAAACCACACGGACAGCCACGCACCCAGGTCCCAGTCGTGCCTCACGTGGCCGGCCACCGCAGCTAGTGAACTGGGGTCTGTGGTCAGCACGGGAGCTTGAGGCTGGGAAGTGTGTCATTTGGAGAGAAGTGTGCGTTCAGCACAGGGCAGGAGGGCGGGAGGGAGTTGGGCTGGCGTGCATGCCAGTGGGGAAGGAGCAGAGGCAGGGTCTCTCCTCGCCTTGGCCGGCTGGCAGGATCAAGAAGCCGCTGGCCTCCTTTAGGGTCTTTCTGTCATTGACACCAATTCGGAGGCGGCACAGACAGAGGGCAGTGGTGGGGACTCGTCCTGACCGGGGCCCGGCTGCTCGGAGCTGGCTTTCCCGTGGCCTTGTGCCCTGCAGCCCCAGCTGGGGGTGATGGTGTCTCCTGCGGTCACACTGACTCCTCACACGCACAGACATGGCCCCATGAGCCGGTGCAGGCAGCTCCAGTGGCCACTGCAAAACCAGGGACCAAAGGCCTTTTGGGGAAGAGAACTGTGTGGCCAGATGGGCGGGAGCCTGGATTCGGGGGGGGTCACCGTGTGCTGGGAGCCGAGCAGCCTGGGCGGGACAGCAGGGACTGTGCATGTCCTGGGGTCAGGCCAGCTCGTGCACGTGAGGGGCCTTGGTGCGAGAGTCCTGGGGCCTGAGTCTGGGGTCCAGCCCGTGGAGACAGACCCCTTGCTGCTGCTGTGTGCTGGAAGGTGGCAAGAGCTCCCCGAGGCAGCGACGGGCGGGGGGTGGGACAGCCCTCGATGGCCCCTCACGCGCCAGGTCCTCTGTCCTCGGTTCCCCAGGAGCTACAGCAGCATGAGGGACCCGAGTGAGGACAGATGTGCTTCCACGGAAGCGGGGAGCATTGTGGCTGGTGCGCTAGCAAGGCCTCCTAGAGCCGTGTTCTTTGCGCATGGCGACGTGGTTAAGGGGTTCATGGCGGGAAATGGCTGAGCCAGGCAGTGGGGGGCTGAGCTGAAGGCCCCGCGCCCCCGATGGACTGTCCAGCAGGCCGCTCGTGCCCCTTCAGGTCGGACTGGTCACAGCCGTCTCGACAGAAGCTGCTGGTGTGGTGGCTGTGTGTCTTGTCGGCAGTCACCTCAGGGCTGGAGACCGTGTCGTGGCGCTGGGTTCTCGCGCCTCGTGCATCAAGGGTTTTTCCTACCACCTCACACTCTGACAAGCCTCAGGATGTTTGCAGCAGGGTGTTCACAAGCTCCTTCTGACGCTGAAGCTCCTCTTCAAAGGAGGAGGCACGAAGCAGCCGTTTAGAATGCGTCTCCGTCGTTTCCGTAACGGCGTGAAGACCTGGCCAGGAATGGCACACGCGAGCGCAATCTGTGCTGTGCCGTGGGCCAGCCCACAAGACCCTGTGGTCACACCTGCTCCGTGTGAGCCCCTTGTCACCTGCTCACGCTGTGCAGGCCATCGGGGGTACAGGCACACGTGCCTGTGGGATGGTGGGACCCGAAGAGACACACATGACCACGCTGCACGGTGACATCTCGGGCGCCGAGCTGTTCCCCAGATGGGCAGCCGTTGCCAAGGACCCCACGGCCAGGGGTTGCCGCTGAGGCATCCTCCAAGATGAGCCGTGAGCTGTCACCCCGTCGGGGGGCAGAGGACGCCTCCTCCCGGGTCCCCACACACACACAGTGCCGGGAGAGCATTTCTCTAACAGGATGGCCACGCCACAGCGGCAAGGACATGGAAAACGGCACAGCCAGCCTCTAAGCGCCTCACTGCAGCCCCGCTCTGGTCATTTCTCCGTGGATGTGTGCTGTGTGCGGGGGCGCTGGGGTCACCGAAGAGAGCAGAAACCAGAAAGAAGCCAGCCGTCCTCAGGGCTAACCCCTGGGGACAAGGACCGTCAGCCACGTCAGAAGCATGAGGCTGTGGCCCGGTGTGCAGGCGTCCCCAAGCCCACAGAACCGAGCAGGCTCATTCTGTGCGCGGTGGGGTGGGTGCGTGCCCAGCCCGAGGCTGCGACACTGTCGTCCGCCCCCCGCCCCTCTGGCCCCCCCAGTTCTGTCGCCTTGTGCTCCCCTCTTCTGTCCATGTGTCCTCCCCTCCCTCCTGATAGGATGACGCATGGGTTCTGCCCACCTACCACGTTGCGCCCTTTCTTGGGGACACACCCGCAGGCTTGTGGGAGGGAGGATGTGGCTTCTACATTTAATACCAGATGCTGACAGCTGGACGGGGCCTTGGTGGCAGATCGGTGGCTTTATTTCCTCTGTCCTCGAACCCTGCCATCTCTCCACGCGGGGTCTCTGTGTCGTGTCTCACGAGCGCATCCTGCACATGGACAGGGTCTGGAGGAGCCGAGGGCACAAACCGGCCTTTGTTCTGCTCCCGCCTCTCCTCTGGGGTCCCTGTGCGGCCTGCCCATCTCTCGACACGGGGGCTCAGGGCTCACGTGGCCAAGTGTGAGGGACAGCGACACTTCGGTTGTGTCTCTTTGGTTGTGTTGCATTTTGAAGCACACGCTCTCAGCGGGCTGCTAGGCCTCCTTGTAGCCTGGCGCTCTTGGGCATCACATGCAATGAAACCCTGTCCATTTCCGTTCCAGCAGGTGAACGACGGCCTCACGCTCAGTGACCTCCCTTTGCACATGCTCAACAACATCCTGTACAGACTCTCCGATGGCTGGGACATCGTCACACTTGGCCAGGTGACCCCGACGCTGTCCATGCTCAGCGAGGACAGGCGTCTGTGGAAGAAACTCTGTCAGTACCACTTTGCTGAGAAGCAGGTGAGTGTGGCAGCCTCGGGCCCCGGTGCGCGGGACGCGTCACCGGGAGGGAGGCTGGCATGCGTCCCTCGCCTGCCCCAGCGTCTGCACCCGGCTCTCCCAGCCTCCCCTCTCTGCACCCCGTGCCTGCAGACCCAGGGTGGGAACTGGCTCGAAGCGCCTTCCCGTGTGAGCTGCTGGGTGTCAATGTGCTCACTCCTCACGCAGGGCTCCGTGAGAGCTGCACACATGTGTGGGGTACCTGCTACGCACAGGGCGGCAGGGGGCGGGATGCGGGGGCACCAGATGCAGCACATCAGAGGCGGGGTTGCCCGTGGCCCCGACAGAAGAGCAGAGGGCGGGATCAGGGATATGTGGCCCAGGGGAGGCTGTCAGTCTGAGAGGATGGGCCTGGGGGTGCGGTGTCCTTGGGAAAACAGCCGGTGCCTCTGGCTCTCAGAGTCTTGTGCACGAGGCTGCAGCGGCCACCCCACGTCCTGGGGTTTTCCCGGCGGACTTAGAAGGGCGGCGGAAGCGCTGGGAGCAGAGGGTTTGTTTGAGGGGCCTGCTGCAGTGGGGAGAAGCCGCGTCAGCGGCGGGGAGGAGGGTGGTGGCTGAGAGCGCAGGCATGGATGAAGGAGAGGCCAGGGCGCTGGGGCTGGCCTGGCGCAGCGGGTCTCAGAAGCGCACGCCCTGGGCACAGATGAGGAGGCTGGTGTGAGGGGTCCGGAGGGCAGTGGACAGAGAAGTGACTTCTCCGCAGAGGAGGCAGACCCCGTTTCCCAAGGCTGAATCCTGTCCGCCCTGCTTCTTCACATGCTGCAGCGTCTCCTCGGCAGCAAGCACCAGCCTGATGCGGCCCCTCAGCGGCCCCTGTCCCTGCACCATTCCCTGGTCTGGAAAACCTCCCCTCCCAGTGGGAGCACGCTGCGGGCCGCCTGCCCGTCACCCCGGCCGCAGCCTGCAGCGCCCCACCACGCTCCGGGGCTGGTCAGCACGCTGTCTGCGGACGGACCCCGTTTCCGCTCCACGGCTGGTGGACGTCAGGGTTGTTTCCACCTTGTGGCTTTGACGAATTCTACAGCTGTGAACACTGCCGTACACGTTTTTGTGTGGACATGGGTGTGCACGTAGGAGTGGAAATCCTGGGTCCCGTGGCAGCTGAGTCAAAATTTGGAGGAGCTGCCGCGCCGTTGTCCCCAGCGGCTGCACTATCGTACGTTGCTGGCCACCAAGCACACGGGTTCCGGCGTCCCTGCACCCTCACCAGTGCTCCTGGTTACCGGGTGGTGGTTTTTTTTAAAGATTCTATTTATTTATCGGACAGAGAGCGCACGCGAGCACACAAGCAGGGGGAAGGGGGAGGCAGAGGGGGAGGGAGAAGCAGACTCCCCGCGGAGCAGGGAGCCCGATGCGGGGCTCAGTCCCGGGACCTGGGGTCATGACCTGAGCTGAAGGCAGACGCCCAATGACTGAGCCACCCAGGTGTCCACGGTACTGTTTTTTTTTTTTTCATCGTGGCCGAGCTAGCGGCGTGCAGTGGCACCTCGTCTGCATCCTCGGTGATGGGGTGTGGCGCCCTGGCCTTCTCGGCATCAGGTCCTTTGCCCCGTTTTCGATCAGGTTGTGTTTTTCATGCAGAGACAAGTGTCCCTCGCCTGTTCCAGGTACAAGTCCTAGACACCTCACGTATGTGACGTGATCTTACCTTGATACAGTTCACGGGCGTCATTCTAGACCAGGGTGCTCACACTTGCCACATGCTGTCCCGCTGCACACGCCGTGGGGCACGTGGTTCATCCCTCACCGATTCAGTCCACGGGAGTTTGAGCTCGTGCACTCCATGGCCCTTGAAATGCCATGTGGCCCCGGTGTGCTGTGAAGTCACGTGCAGGTGCTCAGCAGCATCTGTGTGTCAGTTCTGCAGACATCTGATCCTGTCGGAGAAGGGCCACGTGGAGTGGAAGCTGATGTACTTCGCGCTCCAGAAGCACTACCCGCCCCGGGAGCAGTACGGGGACACCCTACACTTCTGCCGTCACTGCAGCATCCTCTTCTGGAAGGTAACTGCCTCGGGCCTTCAGTGGGGCTCACGCAGATTCTTTGCCTCTGTTTTAGGTGTAAGGGTAGAAAGAATGGGAAATTGTGATGAGAACGTGAGATTGATTTCACCAAGTATCGGGGCGGGGGAATAGATTCACGGGAGTAAACCATACAGCTTGCAGCTTGAGTCAGAAACGTCAGGCAGTGAAGCGTCTGTTTCTGCTTCGGGGACGTGGGTCTCCAGGGACACCGGGGCCCCTGGCACTTGGTTCTGGGCGGTGCCGCGTTCCTGCCAGCCTGAGAAAAAGGGGCCAAAGCGTCCCCGTCCTTTATAAAGTAAGAACGTTTCTGAGCGGGTGCCCCACACTTGGCTTCCTGCCCTGTGCCCCTGGGACCCCGTGCGGGTGCCTCCTCGCAGCTCCCCCCACGCCAAGCCCCTGCAGCAGGGAGGTCCTAGCCTCTCAGAGCGACACGCGGTTTTCATATTTGATCAAAACTGAACCAGTGTCTCCCAACTCACACTTGGAATCCAAGTGCTCTGGGGTGCGGGCAGCCCTTCACCCTGTGACTTCCCGTTGCACAGACGGGGGCTCCGTCTGTCTGCGGTCGGAGGGGAGTTCATGTCACAGTCCATTTTCCTCCATCCTGGGATGTGTTCCCACAGATTCCTTGACCGCGAATACATTATGTCCTGCGATGTCCCTGCTTGCTCGCCGGCGAGCACAATCCGTGTGTGCGCCTGCGTGGGAGTGGCCCCCCGCGCTCTTGGGGGGATGGCCGTTGGCTCCTGCCTGGTCAGCAGCATCCCTGCTCTGCTTTTTGCTGTGCGTTTATCTGTGACTTGTCAGATGGATCACATGGCAAACTTTGCATTGTTGGAAAGGAGACAACGCCTTGAGGTTTTTCTCCTCTCCAAATACATTGGCGGTAGCGTCACTTGCGGTTTTCAGATTGTCCACGGCAAGCCATGAATGCAGTGGCATGGAGGGTGCTTCCTGCGTTACTTGAATGGTTTACTTAGGACATGGAAGGTCAGCAGCGTCACGTGGGGTTTTATCTCTAGGTCCCTGCCGTCTGTTTCAGTGGGGCTCTGGTGTCACAGTGGAACAGCGGTGTGTGTTCCGTGCTCTGCAGTCACAGCCGTGTTGTAGAACACGGTCCCTCGAGGGCAGAGCATCCGTGAGCAGGCGTGTTCTTGCCTGGGTCCGACGGGTGAGGGAGTGGCAGGTGTGTCGGTGGGGGGGAACAGGGCCACAGGCGGGCACGGCGGGCCTGTGTCACCAGCCCTGGGGCACGAGGGGAGGCTTGCGTGCACATCGCACACAGCAGAGGATAATGGGCGGGGGGGTCTCACCCACTGGGACCAGGCTCACCGCTCCCTGCGTCCCTGCCTCTGGGGCTCAGTGGGGCCGACGCAAACCCGCAACGGTGCCCTCATGGTGCCGTTGCAGTAGGTCCCTGAGTGGGATCTGGTCTCAGGGCCTCAGGAGGCCCCTGGGAAGGCGCCCTCCCTCAGTTCTTACACAGGCAGCAACCGAAGCTCTGTACGAAACACCAGTGAAAGCCTGGTGTGGGCAGGCTGGGGAGCCAGGTAAGGCTAGGACCTTTGTCGTGGTGTGTCTGCCACCAAAGTACATGCAGAACCAGCGTCTGCAGCAGGTCCGGGGCCCCGGGCAGGATCGGGAGAGGTCACAGGCAGCTCTGCGATGAGCAGCAGGCTCCCGGCCTGCTCGCATGCTGTGTCTACAGGACACATGGATGGCTGGCACGCGGGGGGCGGGTGGGTGGCTGGGGAACGTGTGGGGAAGGCAGCGGGCTGCTGTGGCTGGGGCGCAGACAAAGCACAGACAAGCCAGAGTGAAAGTGTCTACGATGGACGGTGGGCACTTGGCAAACCAGATGCTGGGATGTGAGGGAGAATGAATGACCTTCCAGAATATGTTACAGATGTTTTCGGTACAAACTGGAGACTTCAGCCTCGCTTTGCGTGTGCTTTGGGGAGTCGTGAGTGGTTCGGGCTGCAGCCTGGCCAGTGTTCAGCCGAGGCTCCCAAGGCAAGGGCAGTGCCGGGCCTGGTGTCAGGACGGTCGGGTCCTCATGCTCGACGTGCTGGCTTTGCAAACGTCTTCACTGCCGGATGGTTTCACCTGCGTTTGTAGATCATTGCTGTCCAAGCTAATGCCCGTGCAGCCTGCTCTCTCTCTAACGTTGGTTTTCCTTTCTCTCCCTCCCTTCCCTGCACTCCTCCTGGTTCTTTCTCCACGATCTCAAAGGACTGCCGCCTTGCTTTGTTGTTCAAGGTACCTCTGTGCTAGACCAGGCCTCGTGTCGTGTCCATGCATGCTCCCAGCCAGCCAGAACTGCCCCTACGAGCCGTTTTCGGGATGTCCTTGGGGGGACATTGTCCTGAGGGGGAAATTATAGTCGTGTCCGTGAGGTTTCATTCAGGTACTGGTGCCCCACGGCAGGTGCCTCGCGGGCTGACCTGGCCTGTGCTCCTTAGGCTCCTCCTCCTTTTAAGCTTGTCGGTCTTAGGGACAGAGCACCTGTTCCCTTAGTCATTCTTCCTGTTGAACAGGATCCCGGTCTCCAGCGAGTGCGAGCTCCTGGGGGGCACCAGGAGGGGAGCAGAGGAACAGCACAGGAATGGAGGTGTGGGGCCAGGCCAGGGAGGCAGAGAACCCCCGGTCCCGGGCCCTCTGGCTTGGGCCACCTGTCTCTGCTGACAGTTCCCCGTGGCTGGCTGTCTTTGGAACGCGGGTCTGCGTGCTCCACACAGCACTGTGATGGGGCCAGGCGCTCTGTGGTGATGCCTCTCCTCTGCTCCTGCAGGACTCGGGGCACCCCTGCACCGCCACCGATCCCGACAGTTGCTTCATGCCCGTGTCACCACAGCACTTCATCGACCTGTTCAAGTTCTGAAGGCGCCCCGCCCGCCACCCGCCCTCCCAGTGGAAGGGGTTCGCCGCGCTGTGCCGTCTCCAAGGAGTGACACGAACACGGACAACGCACCTCCCCGCTCCCCACCTGGACACGGCAGGGGTGTTGGTTTGTTGTGAAAGCGGTTGGGGAACCCAAGTAAAATCGTTCCTGCTTTCTCTAAAAAAATCTTCTTTATCTAAGGCCATTAAGGTTTGCAACTTTGTGTGTTTATAAATATGGTTCAGTAAGATTCTGGATTTTTAGCACCACGTCTGTGCCAAACTGACACTAACAGCTAATACTGTGCTTAATTGTCAAATCATAGCTTCCTGATTTTGTAGTAATTAGGGGCAGGGGACAGAACAGTTGATCCTTGTAAATACGGGGTGCAGAATATTTATTTTTCTTAATATGTATCTTAACTGCATTGGTTGTGTCCAAGTGAGTCCTCGTCAAATGCGAAGTGCGCCGGGGGCAGCGTGTGGTACCATTGTGTCCGTGGTCAGTCTGTGGCCAGCCACGGTGTGGGTGGTGGGACCGCCCAGTGCAGCCTCCCCTTCACTGTCCTGGAAGTGCTTTCCTAGACAAAGTAATAAATCATCTTTATCGACTCATTTGACTTCATCGATTTTGCATCTTCCTGAAAAAGTAGTGTCTGTGGTTTTGATATCGTTGATTTAATCCTTTAAAAGATTGTTTTATTTTTTAAAATAATGCATGTCTATTTTAGATGATTTTGAAAATAAAGGTGTTATGAAATATACAAGTCCCCCATCACCCTGCCCCCCGAGACCACTGTTCCTGCTACAAAGAGCAGTTCCCACCCCCGCGCTGTGGGAGAGCGGTGTGAACCCCCGAAAGTCACTGCTCCTTTCTCCTCTAATGTTTTCTTCTTCTAAGCATATTAAAATGGCTTGCGGTTTTGCGTGTTTGTAAATAAAGATTCTGGCTTTTCAGTGTCGCTGTCTGTGCTGACCTGGTGCTGAGGGCCAACAACATCCTGCCCTCTAGATGTGGCGTGGAACCCAGGGCGTCTGTTTCCCCTTTCCATTTGACAACCAGCCGTGTTTTCAGAAGCATGTTTGAAAACGTGGGTCTTACTGGCCGCGTACCGTCATGGCCGGCAGGGTGCTGCTGGTTCCTGCTGTTCCCCAGCTGGTGTGCGGCCATCACGCCCCTGAGGCAAATGAGTGGAGCCCAGGTGATGGCGCCACAGGTCTGAGGGTGCCCAGGCCGCCCGTGTGAGCTGTTAGGGTCGTCCTGAGTGATGGCTGCTGCAGAGCCCTTCCCCCGGTGCCGTTTTCCTGCCCGAAGGACAAGGTGGGTCCACATTTCTTGGTATTATCGACTGTGTGTTTTTGTTTTCGGTAAGTTACCTAACGTGTGTCCTTTGCCTGTTTTCAGTGTTGGTCTTTTTTGGTATTGTTTCTTCTTAGAAGGACACTGAAGTTTGCTCTCTTTTTTCCCAAACACGTGTTGGTAGCACAGAGGGGAGCCCAGCCGTTCCACTCTGCTAGCACCTCCTGCAGGTGCAGGGAGGCCTCGGCGAGCTGGGGACGGTGGCAGCCTTCTTGGCGGCGTCAGGGAAGAGACGGGAACGAGTAGAGGCCACAGGGTAAGCAGAAGATGGACAGCACCAAGACAGCCATCAGTCACCTACAGGAAGGGGCGAGATGCAGAACTGTCATGAGGTCACACACCGGAATGGTACTTATATCTATTGGGAGGCCTGCCAGAGGTCGGTGGGGACACGGAGAGCCGAGGACACCGTGAACTGGAGACCCCGCAGCACGTCTCATGTGCCTCCAGTCCCTGACAGGGCCAGGCTGAGGCGTCGCTTATTCCAGAGATGGGACGCGCACCTGGGGGGCCCCAGTAGGCGCGACCAGCCAGGAAGCCCATCCAGATGCTGCCTCTCCTTACCCCTTTCAAGGCACAAAAAGATGTTTCTCACCTGGTCTGTGGACACAGAGGACTGAGGTGGCCTCTGAACGCCTCACGACGTGGCACTGTTGACCGTTCAGGTCTCTGTACCGGGAGCTTGGTCTGCTTTAGGACAGCATTTATGATCTGACTGCATACAACGTGTGCCGTAAATGCGGTCCTTAGAATCCGTGAAATGCTGGTGTGTTTCGTGCCTGTGGCCCTGCTGAGCTCAGTCTAGTGGTCGTGTGTAGATTCCTCACAAGCTGGAGCCTGTGGTGCCGAGCCAGTGGCAGACACAGACGTCTGTCGTGTTTCCATCGAGGGAAGGCTTTGTCTTTCCTCTGTGAGTGTGAGGTTGTGTGTGTGCTTTCAAAGACGCCTTTATCAGGTTGGGGCTTAACCTTCCAGTCCTACTTTTTTGAGGATTTTTTTAAATCATAAAAGAGTATTGGATTTTGTCCTGTTTTTTTCTGTATCTGTTGAGGTCATGTGGTTTCATCCTTCATCTTGCTTGTGCGGTGATGGCATTGGTTGATTTTTGTTCCTTTAAGATTTTATTTCTAAGTAATCTCCACACGCAACGTGGGGCTTAGACTCACAGCCCTGATGTCAAGAGTCACATGCTTCACTGACTGAGCCAGCCAGGGGCCCCACATTGGTTGATTTTGGTACGTTGAACCATCCTTGCATTCTGGGCTGAAATCCCACTTGGTTGTGGTGGTAAACTGTCATTTTTGTACAGAGTTGCTGGTTTGCTGCTATTACACTGAGGCTTTTGCGTAGACATCAGCTTGCATGGTCTTGTGCTGTCTTCGTCTTGTTTTGGTGTCAGTGTGGATACATCTTGGCAGACTTAGGATGAGTTTGCCTTAGAAGTGGTCCCTCTGCTGTTTTAGGGGAAGAGTTTGTGAAGGACTGGTATTAATTCTGCTTTAAACATTTGGTAGAACTCTGAGGGTCGTGGTTACTGAGGAGCAGCTTGGAATCCTGTCTTGGAAAATCCTTTCTCTTTCAGAGGTAAGGCCACCCTAAGATAAACGTCCATGACAGGGACTCTGCTGCTTGGCTCCATAATGACCAGCAGTAAGGGGTGCTGCCCTCTGAAAACCAGTCTTAAGAGGCAGAAAATCTCGTGTTTATGAAATGTACTGTTACTTCCTTCATGAACCGTGTGCAGGTGCATGCTTGACCCCACCCTCCACCCTTATTTCTACCTCGTGCATCAGACACTACCCAGTGAAATGCCCGAGGGCTTGCACAGGGCACTAGGAAGGCCGTTAGGACCTGCCCGCCCTCGGCACCCATCTATCCCCATGAGACACTAACTTCCGGTCCCTTGCACTCGGCTCCCGCCATCTACCATCTCAGTAGATTTGACTACCCTGGATGCAGAATATACCTGGAATCTTACGGTACTTGTCCTTTTGTGACCAGCTTGTTGCACTTAAATCATGTCCTTCGGGTCCATCCATGCTGTGGCCTGTCTCAGGATTTCCTAACTCTTTAGGGCTGAGTCCTGTTCTTTTGCATGGATGGACCGCATCTTGTTTTGTTTGTCTGTAGAGACACTGGGTGGCTTCCACCTGTGGACTGCTGTGGACATGGGTGTGCAAGTATCTCTCCAGGACTCCATTCACTTCCTTTGGATCAATACCCAGAAGCAGAATTGGTGGATCAGATGCTAACTCCATGCTGATCATATTTTGAGGAACTGCTACACCGTGTTCCACAGATGCTGCACCCTTCTCCATCCCACCAGCAGTGCTCAGGTGCCCCCGTTTCTCCACGTTCTTGCCAACACTTGCTTTCTGGGGTGGTTGCTGTACAGTGACCACCCTAATGGGTGTGAGGTGGTGTCTCCTGCTGGTTTGGATTTGCATCTCCTTGGTGATCAGTGGTCCGGAGCACCTTCTCATGTGTTTGTTGGCCATCTGTGTGTCGTATTTGGAGAGAGGTCTATTCAAGTCCTGCGCCCATTTTTTTAGTCAAGTTGTGTGTTTTCTTGTTGAGTTGCATGAGTTCTCTGTATATTGTAGATACCAACACCTTACAGGTATGTGAGTGGAAGGTATTTTCCCCCATTGTGAAGGTTGCCTTTTCAGTGTTGTGTCCTTAAGGCATGCAAGTGTTAATTTGATGGAGCTCATTTCCCTTTTTTCTGTTGTTGGCTGACCTTTTTGTCTCCTAAGAGATGGTTGACAAATCTAAGGTCATGAAACTTTCTGTTTTTGCCCGGAACTTTTATAGTTTTATTTAGGTTTTATGTTTAGACCTTTGGTCCACTGAGTTAATACTTGTGTGTGGTGTAAGGTAAGGCCCAACCTCATTCTTTCACATGTGGACATCCGGTTTTCCCAGCACTATTTGTTGAAAACACTGCCTTTCCCCCCACTGAATGGTGTTGGCACCTTTGTTGAAAATCACGACTGTGCAAGTGGCGGTTTGTTTCTGAGCTCTCTGTGCTGTCCCATTGGTCTCTGAGTCTGTCTGTGTGTTCTCATGACAGGACCAAACTATTTTCATTACTGTAGCTTTGTAGTGAGTTCTGACATCAGGGCATGTGAGTCCTCCAACTTTATTCTTTTTCAGGATTGTTTTGGCTATTTGGGATCCCTTGAGAGGCCATGTAATTTTTTACAAGAGGCCAGGATTTTTTCTCTTCCTACAAAAACTGCTAGATTTTGATGAGTGCAATTAATCCATAGATCACCTTGGGTGTTGTCATCTTAGTAAGTCGTACAGCCCACAAGCACAGTAGGTCTTCCCGTGTATCTGTGTCTGCTCTAATTGTTTTAAGCACGTTATAGTGTTCAGCGTACAATACTTTAGCCTCCGTGGTTGAGTTTATTCCTGTTTTATTCTTTGTTGCTGTTATAAATGGGATTTTCTTAATTTCCCCTTGCAGTTTTTCATTGGTCACGTATAGAAATGCAACTGTTGTTTTTATATTATAATATATTATATTATTATTTACATTATATTTTATATTGCAACTTTCCTGAGCTTGTCTATTCCACTTTTTGGTGGTGGTTTTGGTTTTCTTGGGATTTTTTTGGTACAATCTTTAGGGTTTTCTACAAACAAGATCCTATCATTTATAAACAGTTAGTTTTACTTCTTACAGTTAGGATGCCTTTTTTTTTCTTGACTAATTGCCGTGGTGAGGACTTCTAGTAGGATGTGTATGTAATAGGAGTGGTGAAAGTGGACATCCTTGTCTCGTTCCTGACCTTAGAGGAAAATTTCAGTCTTTTGTCACCAAGTAGAAGGTTAGCTGTGGGCTTTTTATATGCTCCTTACTAAGTCAGGGCAGATTTCCTTCTATTTGGAGTTAGTTGAGTGTTTTTTTAAACCACATGCTTTTTCTGCATCAGTGGAAATGATCATGTTTTCCCCTTCATTCTATTATTGTGTGTAGTAAATTATCATTTCGTGGATTTTATCCCTTATTGAAAGTGGAGGATTGATGTCTCTACTGGTATCCTGGAGCTGCCTATTTCCTCCTTCAATTCTGTCACTGTTTGCTGCAGGTATGTTTATAATTATTTTATCTTCTTGATGAATTCTCAACTATTTTTTATTTAAACATGAAGATGATGAAATTAAAGGATGTCTGGGATTGACTTTAACATCATTGCTTGCAGTCAGGAGTACCTAGATAAAACAAAATCAGATCATCCCTGAGCCTAGAAGGATGGCACACACAGGAGTTTACACCAGGGCTCAGCAAACTTGTTCTGCAAACATTATTGGGCTTTGTGGGCCACGTGCCTCCTTCTGCACTCTCAGCTGCAACACCATCATGCAAGCAGCCTGTGCACGGGGGAGTGTGCTGTGTTC